TAAGAGGTGGGAAAAGGAGGTTCAGTGAATTTAAGTGAGAATAATAAGCTGAGTTATTAAAAGCAGATCATACATGTTTAAAGACGTGACAGGAAGTTTTCCACTTTCTCGGTTCAGAAAATAATAAAGTCCTGAGAACAGAACATTTTTATGTGCGTGCTGTCATCTGATGTCAGAAGTCTATTCAACACTTGAGAAAGTTTTATTGTGTAGTTTGACTTTTCAGCTCGACCCTCAGCACATCTTCTAAAATGACTGATGTCGCAGCCGATCACCAGGGGGCGATCAAGACGAGTGCGCTTCGATCGCACCTGCCCGTTTATTTTTCGGGAGGTTTGTGTGTTTGTACGTGAGATGACACAGAAACAGAAACTGTGCAGATTTCCATGAAGCAGAAGGATGTGGTGCAGGTTCGGGGGGAGTCCCGTGAATTTCAACAGTGAGAGATAAGATGCTTTTTTTTTTAAACAATTTCACTGTTTCCCCCTTCGTGATAATTCGAGGATCTCGATGAGCCGATCCGTGAGTGTGTGAAATTCAGTGCGGCCTGATTGATTTCGAGTCCTGGTGCACAAAACGACAGATTTTAAATATGGAGGATTTGACCCCTTGTCTTGGTGCAGTTGCACTTTACATCCTGTTACAGCCAAAATCTCCGACGTGCTGAAATAGCTTGTCCGCTGTGAATGAAACAATAATAAGTGTCTTCATCTCCGCGGCACCATCTGGATCAGTCGTACTCGTGTATTTGATCAGGCCTTTCAAATGGCCTGGAAGTGAGCTGAGGCTAATGCGAGTCCACCAGGCTGTTGCTATGTGCTTTATCTCCCCTGCCCTGCTGATCTCGACCTGCTGGAACAATTTCCCCTTGCTCCGCTGCCTCTGGGCTTTATTCCACACCCACTAAATCTGTCACTCTCAACCTTTGTAGAAAGTGCCAGTGGCTCTTTTTTTCTCTCCGCGGGGTGCAGCGAGCGACGCCTCACATTCTTGATCTGTGTGCTCCCACGTCAGGGCCGGCTCCCCCCTGCACGTATCTGCAGTTCAGCAGTTCAGGGTAAATAAAACCTCTCGGCCGTCACGTTCGAGCACGAGCGGGATTCACTGGAACTTGAAGGTAACAGTCGTCACTGTGGGAGAGATTTCTATCCCGATAAAAAGCTTTTATTTAACTCTCGTCACTGAGGTTGACACAGTTCAGGCAGCTCTGAGATGCGACAGTTACTGACCGCAATTCTGAGACGATACCAGGATGTGGCAGCGACCCGTCTCCAAAAATGACTGCAGACTGAAACACATGAGTAACAAATGTTTGACAGTCCCAAGTTAAATGAGTGTTTTGTGGTCTGGATCATAGTTCAACACCTTTGCACTAAAACACACAGGGATTTTATTTTATCTTTACAAAAAGTGTTTTGAATGCCGGGAAGTCCCCTTTTGTTTTCCTCATTAAAGTGATAATGAGTCTGTAGTGGTGCTTTTCACATTCAGCAGAAAAGGGTCAGTCGATGTGTTTTAGTTATAAAATAATAAAAATGACAATAATATCAAATTGAACAGGTCACCAAAGCATCACGTGAAGAGTTTTTAAGAATATTTAGTTTTTACTTTTACATTTCTCTGTCTTAAAGGTTTAATAACAACATCTCAGAAAAACTGAATTTCTGCATTTGCCCCCCAAAAAAAAGTCCATATTGTTTTTGGCTCTAGTTTAAACACACTGAATCAGTTTCCATACACAGACTCAGCTTCATTCAATGTGGAGATGAACGCAGATGTGCGAGGCCTCAGCTGAGAATTAGAAGTTTGGTTTGGGCAGAAACACAACTCGTATAACCAACGTGGATAAAATATATGTGAACAAAGGGACGTTGGGAAACTGGGCGGGCCATTCGTAACCTTTTGATAATGGGAGGATCAAACACGAGACACTCAACCCCTGTTCCTCCTCCTCGATAATTCAACAACCCTGTTGATGTTTACTGCCGAGGGAAACCCTGTACGTTCCATCCAAAAAACACAAATTCCACCGGACTTTTTTCTCAGATTAATTTTTTCCATTGAAACACACACGCGCGCACGCACACACACATTCCCTTTCCTTTTCCTGCAGAGTGCCCTCCACCCTCCTGCTATCTTACCGGGATCAGGCTGGATTTCTGGAGGAGCGCAGCTGCAAATAGGAATTTCTTTTGCCAGATTGGCAGTGTCCCGCGGACGGAAAAAAAGCTAATCCTCTGGTGGGTTCCCCCACAGAATTGAGGGGCGTAAGGCCAAGGAAAAGCCCCGGCCAACTACAACAAACAAAGAGGCTTTCCCCAGCTCTCCCAGGCAGCCCGTTCCACTGTTTGACAATGGTTGCCATGGAAGTTGTTTTTCATTTCATAACAGTGTCAACATGTCCAGGCGGCCGGGAGAGTGACACTTTTTTCTCCCTCCCTCTCTTGTCTTTAATGCCAGCGAGAGAGTGAGAGAGAGAGAGAGAGAGAGAGAGAGAGAGAGAGATCATTTCCTAATGTGCGGCGGTGCCAGACGAACCCCTGCGACCGAACGCTGCCGAACGCGCGATGACAACCTCACGCCGCCTTCAAACCTCACCTGGCTGACACCGGCTACAGAGAAGAAACACATTGCATCACTCGCTCTGATATAATTTGCAGGACCTTTAACTGCGAAACAAGGAAGAGCCTCAACCTCTGGCCCGCTGCTGGATGTGGCCTGACATTAATTCAGTCAGAGGGTAATGAGGTTGACAAGCACAAGTATAAACACATGACTCATAATCCCTGTTATTTCCACCTTGAGTGGAACATAACTGCACCTCCTGGCGAGGATTGTTTTTAATAGTGTTCGCTGTGGGCTTTGTTCAGAGCGACGCTCCAGCACGTAAAGGAGATGGTGCAGATAATGTAAATATCCTTGAATTGTTCTTGGGAGAAGTCACATCTCCGTCATCCATCACACATATCCATCACTTTGTTTTCAGCTGACGGAGACACGGCACACACCGGAGCGATCCCACTCACACAGAGAATAAAAGCAACGACTTACACTCACCATCATCTAGGTAGGCCTGGTCCAGGTTCTCCTCTTTGACCGTCACCCTCCTCTGTCCGTCCCCCGGAGCCTCCATCTGCTCGGCGCTGGCTGGGGCCCGACCTTTCTGCTGCGCCTTCTGCATGTAGGGCTGCTGCTGGATGACGGTGGGGTAGTGCTGAGGCTGGGTGACATCGACCTGGGCCTGGGGGGGTGTGGGTGAGTGGCCGCTGGCTGAGCGAGGGGAGTAGCCGTCGCAGTAGATGATCTGCTGGGTGTCGGGCTGCGGAGCGGCGAGAGGCTGAGGGTCTCCTCCCCGGAGCAGGTGTTGGTTGGTGGGGGAGAACTGGATGATGGAGGGGTGCTGGCCCGCACCGATGGGACCTACAGACTGAGCCGAGGAGCCCGTGTGGACCAGGACGGACCGGTGCGGGTCGGTCATCATCCCTCCGGTCGGCTGATAAAGGCTCTGGCTGCCGCTGAGACTCTTGCCCCCGCGGGAGTAGACGATGGCCGGGCTCTGCTGCTGGAAACGTGCGTCTTGGTTCGGGAGGCTGGAGCTGAGACGCTGGCAGGAGGACATGCTGGACACCAGGCCGTTGTCTGGGTGGAGGAGGCTGCGGGGGTTGTGGTAGTAGGGATGAGGGGATAAACCTAAGATCTGAGGCACGGCGAAGCCCATGTGGTCGACTTCATACTCATCTATGGGCTCTGTCTTGATGGACGGAGCTGGAGGAAGACAAATCCACGGCTGTAAACATCTCTTCAGATTTTTCTGTGCACTCACAATAATAAAAGTGTATCATCCTTACATGCCAGAGGAGTGTAGGTGAAATGTTGAGGCTGGCTGCGCTTCCTCTTGCCGTTGATGACGTAGAAGTTCACTTTGACCGAGTGGCAGGCGGACGTGTCCCGGTACGACGGCACCTCCACAAACAGCATGCTCTACAGGACAGTGACAAGACCTCCATGATGTTTGAACTCTGGGCAGCCGACGTGTGTGTGTGTTACAGGCATCATGTGAGTATTCAGGGAACAGTGTGGAGTATAATACGTACAGGCTGGCTCTTGTCTTTGTCCACTGTGGCTTCCATTTCCCAAATTTGCTGCCCATCTAGAAGGAAGCAGAGAGAGAGTGAAAACCTGATCTGAGTCAAATGATGCAGTAATTATCTCTGCAGTTAAACTGAATGTTTCAAGATGTACGATACAGCTGCAAATCTTCAGCCTGTAAAATTGGGAAAAATTGCAGAATCCAAACCAACGGAGAAATGTCTTCATCTGTATTCTCAACAGCAAATTTTTTGTTTATTTCGAACACAGAAAACTTAACGTCATCCCGGTGACATTTGTTTTAGAGTTCACGTGGAAAAAAGGCTCTTTGTGACACTTTATCTTTTCTCAGATCACTTCCTCTTACACCACAGAGAACATCTGACGGCAGCGAGGACCTGAACACGTCCATTAATCGTGGAGAAATGCGTCTGCGGAAGACACACCTGTCTGCACTCCCACGCCGACAGGTGTCGAAAGCAGAAACGCCACGATGGCGAGGAACGTGACGAGAACTGCGAGGTATTGCGCTCGCGTTCAGGTGAAGCTGTCGCTCGAGTGAAAAAGCTGTAAACTGAATGCGAAGAGTAAACTCCACGTGTCCGAGCACACGACTCGACACATGCTGCAGAGAGTGTTTGTGGGAAACCCTCTGTCAAACAGCAAATTACAAACACATGGTTTAAATGAGTCAGAGGGAGGAAGGGGGATTCCACACATCTCGCCAACTTTTAAACTTTATTTTTATGATCAACTCTCTCCACCTCTGCAGCAAAACACGATGACTTCTGCTTTCTTGGCGTTTGCGCGGCATTTGTTTGCGTTTTGTTGCAACCCTACTCCAAGGGATACCTCCGACTCTTGTTCTGCCTCCAGAGATAGTTGTGTGTGGACGTGGAAAAGGGGGGAGGAGCGGAGGGCCGAGCAGGCTCGACTTGGCCTAGGAAGCTTTCCTTCCCTCCGTGCAAAACCTCCTCTTCCAGGCACAAGAGCCAGGGGAGCTCGGGCCAGAGGCAGCTGTGTCTCATTCTGAGGGATTTCACAGCTGCACCCGTCCAGAACTTTGTGTCATAGAGAAACTCTCCAAAACAATGGCAATCCCTCTTCGTAAGATTTCTTTTTCCGTCTCTGTCTTACTATCCATTACTGTGGTGTGTCGTAACACGGCGGCAGGGAACCCCGAACAGAAAAAAAAAAAGAAGTAGCCTGGGTGTGTGCAGGTCCAAGATTTAGTCGAGGAGGCCTGTGGAGCACCGGCCTCTTAAAAAGCCAAGTTCTCAGACGGCTGTGGAGTCAGTGAGTCACGATTTTAAAAAAAAAGTATTTTTACATAACCGTCCATCGCAAAGAACATTTGAGCAACAGCACGAGGTCGAGAAGTGCAAAATATAGACCTGGTGTTGATTTACAGCAGCTGGTAGAAGCTCTCTCTCTATCTTTAGACAGGAGTTGGTTTAACGTTAAAGGTCAGAACGATATTATATACCAGTCGTGGGTAAATCATTTAATTTTGATTAATACGTTTGAGCAACAGATTTGCAAAATTGAGACCCTCAGGTAATTCCTTCTGTGTGAGTCACATTAAAAACATCACATGTGACAAGTCGAACCATTAATCAGACAACAAAGGAGCCAGCCGAGACGTCACGGAGGTCAGAGAGGAAGAAAAGGTTCAGGAGGAAGTCAGGCAGTTATCACTCCGATCATGCAAATGTCTCACGCAGCTCCATCTCTACAACAATGGTGGTGAAATAGGAAACTCTGCAGCTTATGAGTCGTCATCGCTGAAATCGAGGTGACGTTATGTTGTGCAACAGCAGGAGCTGGAGGTTTTACAGATGGAGTCACGGCTGCCGTGTGTTGATGCCACTCACCCTGAGTCTTCTCCGTAAAAATGACCTTGGAATCGGAGCTGAAGTTCTGCCCGGTCAGGATCATCTGCTGGCCGCCGAGCACGGAGCAGCTGTCCATGTCCTGCTTCTCCACCATGGGAAGCTCGTGAGCTGAGCGCTGAGCTGCAGGGGACAGAACGAGGAGTCAAATCACTAAGTCAAGAATAAATCAACTTGGGAGATAATAATTAAAACTAATCTATAGATATTTTCACTGTAGTTCGTTGATTCGTGGATAAAAATAGAGATATCACTCAAAAATCAAAACAATCATTAAATGCTTCATTTCCAAAAGTCTCCTCTCTGAGTCGGTTTCTCACCAGTGACACTGATTTACAATAAAAACGTGAAGCTGAGTCATTCAACGATCAAAATCCTCACCATCAGTTCAAATGAGCAGAAACACAAACGTTGTGACTCACGGTGGAAAAAAAAACGGATGTGGGATAGTGAGAGAAACACTTCACAGTATGATGCAATCAGATAAGACAGCCTGGTAATAAATCTACTGCATGTAAAGCTTTAAATGTTTAATCTTTGTCGTAGAAATCCATTAGAGACACTGTTTAAACTCACAGGACTTCGATTTACACAAAGATCCAAAAGATCCAAGTACCACAAAAAAAACAAAAACACACGTCAGTCAAAAATGAGCCGATATGAACTTTTTTAAAATGTGGAAACTTTAATTTTAGAGAATAAACTCTGCAGAGTAGATGTGCATTCATGTTTAAACTTAATGTCAAAGAACAATATTTAAAAGAGTTTAACTTCCAGTT